AAGCCATTACCTGGCAGATGAAAAATCAAGGTCGCAGCGATGCCGAGGCGGCGGAACTTCGCGAGCAAGTCGAGGCCGCGCTCACCGCGGCGTCCGCGGCGCCGCCATCCGCCGGATCGACTACGACTGCGATGAACAAATAAAGATACAATTTTCTCCCGATACTCCTTACAACACGTGCGTCATGTAAAATATACAACCCCAAAGTCCCTCTGTATAAATAAAACGTCAACTCATTCGCCGCGCTCGTCCTCCTCCCGCGTCGCGCTCGCCGCTCGATACGCCGACTCGAGCGACGCGTTCACAAAGTACCTCTCCGCGCTCTCCACCTCCACCCGCTGTCCATCCCTTCGATACTTTCCTCTCTCCAGCGAGTACATCGTCGTCACTCGGTTCACGATGAACCATCCATCACGAACCTCGATCGTCTCCCCGCACGTCGTGTTCTTCGGCAGTTTGTGCACGCCCAACTCTCTCGGCGGCGGCGTCGCGACGCGCACCGCGAACGGGACCAATTTCGTTTTCCGCTCGCTCTCCTCACCCGAGCTCGACTCGCGCTCACTCGAGCGTTTCGTTCCATCCTTGGGATCACGCTCGCCCTCGTCGCCCGTTCGCTCACCGTCCGCATCGCTCGAGCGTCGCGCGCGCGGGCGACACGTGTGCGATTGCGCGCTGAAATGATGACGTCCGAGGTCACGTACGGTCCACTGACGTCCGGTTCGCGCGCGCGGCGCGCGTCTCGACGACGCCGATGACGGGGCGAACATCGTGGGCGAGCCGTGCACCGAATCGCGCGACGTCGAGGGACGCGCGCGCGAGTGTGGAGGTGGTCTCGCGCGGAGTGGTTCTGAAGTAGGGGGGGCGGGCGGGCGAACGGATGACGACGCGCGGCGAGCGGTACCGATGCGTCGAGAACGCGGGAATGAGCACGGATATCGTGGCGTACAATGGCGTAGAGTTACACAGAAGGCTCGTCGAGCGCGTCGCGAGCGATGTTGAGTTCACGGAGGGCGTCGAGGGCGGAGCCGAGGGTGAGCGTCGACGCGTCGTCGGCGCTCGCGAATTTGGCGGCGCGCGGTTCGGCGGAGACGCATGCGTCTCTCGTGTCGTCATTCACGCCGTTGGATACGCATTCGGCATTGTCGTTTTCGGTTTCGTCCTCGTCCAGGGCGGCGTCTAAAGGAAGTGGGCTGTCGGTGCTCTTACGACGGAGCGGGAGCGGATTTTCCAGGAGATGGAGTAAATCCGCCGGCGTGTGCTCGACGTACGTCGCGGAGCCGTCGGCGTCATCCAGGTCGAACGGGAAATCCTCCTCGTTCGCTCCATCGTCAGTAAAATGAGGCGAACCACCGGTGGCGTCGTCGCTCGCTCCGCTCATTCGTCTCGCAAAGGCGGCGGCCACGGCTGTGGCGCCGCCGGGCGAGTGCGGATACACGCCGACGACGTCGCGAAGAGACGTGCCCAAGCTAGAACTCGGCGACCAAGACGATCGTCTATACGACGAACCGCGTTGAGCGAAGTGCGCCCCAGGCGATGTCCCGAGGCTCGGTGACGGGGACTCAGGACACGCGAAGCCGCCCCAAGACGGCGATGGTACGGCTCGCGCCGCGGAGGCGCCTCGGTGGCGATTCGCGGGTGAACACGCTATCGGCGTTGACCCAGCCATCGGCGAGCGCATCTTCTGCTCGGGCGTCGTTTCCGCACCGACGGTTAAAGTCGGCATCGCGACGCTGGTCGCTCGAATAGGCGTTTTCGGCCGCTGCTCGAACTTTGCGACGTCCGCGAGATCCATCGACGTGCCGGCGTCGATCTTCAAGCACGACTCCGCGCGAATCGGTGGTTTAGGCATTCCCGAAATCGGAGCGTCCAAGGTGCCGGGAGACTTTGATGACGCCGAAGATTTTGACGGCGCCGCGTTGAACCCGTAAATCGGTGCGGGACCGACGCTCGGCGCTGAACTCGGCGCGTTGTCGAATCGTTGGAAATTCGGGCTCATGTAATCCGCCAGAGGCACCGTAGGTGGTTTCATCATCTGCTGAAGCGAACCGGCGGACGAAGACGCCGTCACGCCTCCGCGAACGGGCGGTTGATTCTCTCTCTGCATCGTCGAGTCATCGGTTCCGTCGATGCCAAAGGTGAGTCCTCGCGAGACTTCAGCCAAGTCAGTGTCGCGTCTCATTCGATCCGACCCACCCTTACCCGTGGGCGATGGCGAGAGCGACATCTCCCCTCCCGCGAGCTCCACGTCCGGACCCACGGATGCGTCTAACGTTTCGCTTTTCAACGATCGAAGCGGCGTCGAATCTATAACACCGATGAATTTTTCCTCCAAAGCCTTCACGGCGGGTTCGTCCAAAAAATACACGCACGCGCAGAGTTTGCCGACGGAAGTGGGCACGTCCGCGAACGCGTATGTTTTATAGCCCGCTTGTTTCCCAGGATGCGCATCCTGCACCGTCGTCCCCGAAGCGAGCTCACGTATCTCGAACCTGAACCTGCCGCCCCCGCTTTCCTTCCTGAGCGTCGCCCCCGCGTGTCGCATCGCCCGAATCCGCGCGCCGTGCGCCGGAAGCGTCCGCAACAACGCCACGAGCGTTCGCACCATGATCACCGCCCGCTTGTACACCACCGGCGTCTCCAAATCTTTATTGAAGTGATTGTTACCCCCCACGCTTCCCGCGTCCGCGCCCGCGTGAAACGTCCACCGCTCCACGAGCGCGCTCGCCTCAACCTCCGAACCGTCCCGTTCGAACCACACATCGATCGCGATCACGCGCCCTTCCCCCCCCCCCCCCCCCCTCGAAACCATCATCATCCACGCCCGTCCCCTCGTCCCCGAACGACCCTCGACCGTCAACGCCCCCCTTCTCGACGCGTTCGCGCGTCTCGCGTCGTCTTCGCGTCGCCGCGTTGAACCATCGATTCACTCGCTCTCCCGACCCACCGACGTGCTGACGCCCCGGATCATCCCGCGCGTCGAGCACGACGTCCGCGCACTTCGCCAGCCACTCCCGGGCGATCTGCGTCGTTCGATCGACCATGGGCGTCGCGCGCGCCGAAATCACACGAAAAGTGATGCAATCACTCAAAAATCACCGAAACACCCGCGTCCGACGCGCGCGC